TGTTAAAGCTATCCACTTAGGGTATTTCTGTTCTTAAAACAGCACATTACAGACAGTTGCCCACATAATTCTTAAAGCAAAAAAAAAAAAAAAAAAAAAAAAAAGCATCAGCAGCTTTCTCTCCATGGGAGTAATTGTATGTGATGTGGGCATGGACAGTGGTGCCAGACTAAGTCAGGGTGCTGAAAGCAGAGCTTCTTACTCCTGGAGGATTGGCTTTCCAATCATAAATTCTAGTTAGAGATCAGGAGAAACTTCTTCCTGCAGTCCGTTAGTGACTTCTTTCTTATAGTATACGTATCAGTTTGTTCATTCCTCTCCAAAAAGAAATGCTTTCTTTGTATTGTTTTCCTTCCTCCCCCAGTCATCTTCCATACTGTTCCAGAATATGGCTTCGAAAGTGCAGATTGGATATGTTGTTCTCTTCAACTCTTTCAGTACAGGTTAAGTCCTGCTCCTTAACTTGAATTATAAGGCATTTCATGATCTGGCCTTCACCTACCTTTCTAGCCTCATCTTTCCCTGTGCCTCATGCAGTGGATGTTTGTCATATTTCTGTGTGCCCAGCATCTGAACTCTTTTCTTATGTTTGGGAAATTCCACAGGGTCTTGGTGCAGGGTGAGACCAGTCTCGTATCTCTGAAACTGAAAAGTTCGGATACTCCTTGCTTTCCTGGCAGCTAGCACATGGAACTGTGTCCCAGGCTCAGCCGGTGGGACTTTGAATCTGCAGTGAGTGACACAGAAAATCCAGGACAGCATCAGTGGTAGCAGTGATAATAGTGGCAATGCCCTTGTGTTCCATTGACAGTGGTGTCTCCACCAGACTGTTCTGTAAGTGGCTTTGGCTGTGGTTCTGACTCCCTAGCCTACTTGGTACCTGCGCATTTTCAGAGTCTAGATTCTCCAGCCCTTCTTTTGGATCTGTGAGGTTAATCAATGTTGTTCCTTTTCTGTTTAAAGGAACCCAAGGAGGTTTCTGTTACTTGCAGAATCCTGACTTAATCCACCCTCTAGCACCTAGTGCCCCACTTACATTAAACTTTGTACAGTTCTTCCAAACTGACCACGGTTGTCTCTACCTCTGGGCTTTCTCGCAAGTTCTTCTACCTGGAACACCCTTTATCCCATTCTTCATCTGTTGGTCTCTTGATTGTCCTTTAGGACTCAGCTCTGTTGTTATATCACTTTTTCAAAAAATCTTCCCCTAAATCTCACTGAGGGCTTACTCCTCCGTGTTCCAGCATAATCCTCTGCTTAGCTCTATTATAGTAGTTATCACGCTATATTGTAATTGTCTTTATGTTAAGTGTCTTTGCATAGTCCCTGGCAGATAATAATTACTATATAAATTTTATCTGTTGAGTGAGTGAGATACTCTATTGAATTACTATATTATATATAAATTTGTCTATTTGCATGTCTGTTTTCCCCCATTAAACTACGAGTTTTCTAAGAGCAGAGACCAAATTCTTCTTCATCTTTATAATCTTAATTTATAGCACAGACTCATAGTACATGCTGAGGGAATATTGAATGAATGAACAAAGGAGTGAATGGCGGGACTGACTGTCTTTTTAGAATTTCTAGTAGACAGCTTCTACCCCAAAGAAGTATTTTCTTTGACTGTATAGGTGAAGGTAAAATATCTACATGTGCCTTATATTGAGTAACTGGCGTTCTCAGCTCCTTCTTTGTACCAGGAATTGGAAGTCTAAATGGGAAGATGATGTATACACATGAAATACTTTACGTGCCAAATGAGTGGTATGGACAGATGTAGCTTAAGTGTCAGGCTAAATATAACATTCTTAATTGAGCCGTTGAAAGTGTGGTACTGTCATGGATTGGATTGTATCCCCCAAACATATGTATCTACTTGGCTAGGGCATGATTCCCAGTATTGTGTGGTTGTCCTCCATTTTGGGATCTGATGTAATTGTCCTATGTGTCAGAAATCCTAATCTCTGCCTGTAGTTAATGAGGCAGGATTAGGTTATGTTAAAGAGGATTAGTTTATGTTTGTTATATTAATGAGGCAGGATTAGGGTGGGATGTAACACCCTTACTCAGGTCATAGCCCTGATCCAATGTAAAGGGAGTTTCCCTGGGGATGTAGCCTGCATCACCTTGTATCTTAAAAGAGATAAAAGGAGAGAGAAGCTAGCAGAGAGAGAGAGACCTACTACCACCAAGAAAGAAGAGCCGAGAGCGGCGCGCATCCTCTGGGCCTGGGGTCCCTGTGCTGAGAACTTCTAGACCCAGGGGAAGATTGATGCCAAGACACATGGAGATCTCCAAGGAATGGTAGACTCATAGATGTTGAAAGGAGACAAGGACCTTCCTCTAGAGCCAACAGAGAGAGATAAACCTTCTCCTAGAGCCAGAGCTCTGAATTTGGCCTTCTAGCCTTCTAAACTGTGAGAAAATCAATTTCTGTTTATTAAAGCCATCCACTGGTGGTATTTCTGTTATAGTAGCACTAGATTACTAAGACAGGTACCTAGAGCAAATACTTTGGAAATGGTTCTTGATTAATTTGATTGATTAAAATGGAAGCCTGTAGTCGGCTTTGTCTTTGTTTTATTTGGCTTGTATACAGCTTATTTTGGACTAGTTCATTGTGTTTTTCCCTCGTTCTTTTTTTTAGGTCCAAGACAACTTTGACAAAATTGAATTCAACAGGATGTGTTGGACCCTCTGTGCCAAAAAAAACCTCACAAAGAATCCCCTGCTTATTACTGAAGAAGATGCATTTAAAGTATGGGTTATTTTCAACTTTTTATCCGAGGACAAGTATCCATTAATTATTGTGCCAGAAGAGGTAAGGTGTGGCTTTGGGAAGTTTTTTAATGGCTATTGTAACATTTAATAGACCCTAGTTTGAAAGTATTTGTGCTGATTCAGTGTAGACGTGGAAGGAAATCCTGGACTAGTGTTTTTGGGGTCAGAGGCAAAACAGCCTGAATCCAGAAAAGTCTAAACCTTAGTGATTTTGAAGCATGTAATACCCTTGGAGATTTTCAGACTGGGTGGAACTCTTCCTCTCTAAATTGCTATAATTATAGATGAATCCATCTTTATGTCCAAAGAGTCTTTATTCATACAAGTCACAACATAATTTTCTGTCTACTCGCCTACTGGCAAAACCATAAGAACTGGCCAAGTGATGCTATATGGGAAATACCTAGGATCCAGAATGTAATTCTCAAGGCTGTTTTATGTGAATAATACTATTCTTGTTTCAAAGTCCATGTTGATGAGTTTTTTACTATACTTTTCTAAGTAAATGAAAAAGGACATCTGCTTCGTTTATTCTGGATTATTTTTCCTGAGCCTTCCAAAAGGGGGGAAAAATCCCACAAGGGTAAGGTTTTCTGTGCTATTGTACTGCCTTATTATAGTAGAAAGGGGCTGTGGTGGCTCAGTGGTTAAGCGCTTTGCTGCTAACTGAAAGGTCTGCAGTTTGAATCCACCAGTGGCTCTGTGGGAGAAAGATGTGGTAGTCTGCTTCTGTAAAGAGTACAGCTTTGGAAACCCTATGGGGCAGTTCTACTCTGTCCTATAGTGTTGCTAGGACTTGGAATTGACTTGGCAATGGGTTTGGGTTTCTTAGTATTATAGTAGAAAATTTAGAAAAGACTAATAATATGCAAAATTAAAATCAGCTATAGTCGTCCCATTAAAATAAGTCATCTCTAATCTCTTAACCTTGGACAAATTATTTAACCTCTTTAAGTCTTAATTTTTGTATTTATAAAATAGGGCTAATAATAGTGCTTACTCTGAGGGTTATGAGGTTATTCATTTAGTTCAGTGCTTGACACATAATATGCACTTAGTGTGTCAACTCCTACAACTACTGTTATTGCACACATTTTTTGTACACTAGTTTGCTTCTTTCCTTAGGGTAAATTCCAATTGTGGAATTCTGAGTCCTAAGAAATGGACACTATCAAGGTATTTGATGAACAAGGCAAACTTGCCTTTCAGAAAGTCTGTACCAATTTATATGCCTACCAGTAGTGGGTAAGGGTGCCCATTTTTATCCATCCTGCCAATACTGAGTCTAGTCTTTGATTTTCTGACTCATGTTCATGTTAGGAGAATGACTGACATCTGTTTAAAAGTTCACACTAGAATATTTTATTGACTGTCTGCAGTTAGTGAGGCACCAAGTGGAATACAAAAGTGAAAAAGCTTACTCATGCCTTCAAGGAATTTAAAATCTATAGGAGGAGAAAAATAATTGAGTGTAATTCATAGCAAAATAGACCACCTGCTATGTAAGAGATGCACATGCCATGTGAATACAGAGAAGAGAAAGGTTTATTTCAGCTTTGGGGAGGTGAGGGGCCTGGGAAGACTTTTAAGAGAGAGAGCATAACATAGTGGTTAAGAGCAGAGTCTTGAACATTTTTGGTAAAGGGCCAGATAGTAAATATGTGAGGCTTTGTGGGCTTTGCAGGCCACACAATCTCTGTTGTAGTTACTCAGCTTTGCTGTTGTTGCATGAAAGAATCCACAGACAATATGTGGCTGTTTTTCAGTAAGACTTTTATTTATGGATGTTAAGGTATGAGTGTCATATAATTTTCAAGGGCCATGAAATATGATTCTTCCTTTGTTTTTTTTTTTCCCCAGCCATTTAAAAATGTAAAACCTGTTCTTAGATAATGAGCATACAAAGAACAGGTGGTGGACCAGATTTGGCTGGCGGGCCAGGTTTGGCTGGTAGGCTATAATTTGCCGATCTCTGGTTAAGAGCATTGACTCTGAAGTCAGATTTCCTTGATTTGAATTTTGGCTCATCACCGCATACTAGCTATGTGACATTGGACAGTTTACTTAATTTTTTGTACTTCAGCTTCCTCAACTATAAAATAGGGCTGAGTGGCCGTCTAAGATGCATCAATTGGTCCCAACCTGCCTGGAGCAAAGGAGAATGAAGAACACCAAAGACACAAGGAAGATATTAGCCCAAGAGATAGAAAGGGCCACATAAACCAGAGACTCCATCAGCCTAAGACCAGAAGAACTAGATGGTGCCCGGCTACCACCAATGACCTCCCTGACAGGGAACACAACAGAGAGTCCCTGATGGAGCAGGAGAAAAGTGGGGTGCGGAACTCAAATTCTAGTAAAAAGACCAGACTTAATGGTGTGAATGAGACGAGAGGGACCCCGGGAGACATGGCCCCCGGACTCTCTGTTAGCCCAAAACTAAAACCATTCCTGAGGCCAACTCTTCAGACAAAGATTAGACTGGACTGTGGGACATAAAATGATACTCGTGAAGAGTGTGCTTCTTAGCTCAAGTAGATACATGAGACAAAATGGGCAGCTCCCATCCGGAGGCAAGATGAGAAGGCAGAGAAGGTCAGGAGCTGGTTGAATGGACGTGGGAAATCCAGGGTGGAAACGAGGAGTGTGCTGTCACAGTACAGGGAGAGCAACTAGGGTCACATAACAATGTATGTATAAATTTTTGTATGAGAGACTAACTTGAATTGTAAACTTTGATTTAAAGCACAACAATAAAATAAATAAATAAAATAAAAGAGGGCTGATGCTAGTATGGAGCCCTGGTGGCGCAGTGGTTAAGTGCTATGGCTGCTAACCAAAAGGTCGGCAACTTGAATCCACCAGCTGCTCCTTGGCAACCCTGTGGGGCAGTTCTGCTCTGTCCTGTAGGGTCGCTATGGGTCAGAATTGCCTCAACGGCAACAAGTTTCCTTTTTTAATGCTAGTAGCTCCCTCCTAGTGTTGTAAAGATTAAATGAGAAGCTATTTGGCTGTTAGTAAGGGCTCATTAAATGTTACCTATTATATTTATGGAGAAAGTAGCACTTGTGCTGGGCCTTAAAGGATGGGAAGGATTTTGATTCATGGAGAAAGCAGAGGAGAAGAATTCTGGATGGAAGAAACAGTGGGGTAGGAAAGCAAAGGGCATATTCTGTGTTGAGTGAGTCATTCAGCTCTACTGAATTGCCAGTAGGATGCTTAGTTAGAAATAGCCAAACTGACTGATTGAAACCAGAAAAGAATTTTTTAAAAGGGTATTGGGTAGTTCACAGGATGCTAAGATGTCTGAAAACCCAGGTGTAAAGGCTGTGCTGATCATTCCATGAGGAACCGTGACGAAATGCTGCCACTGCCACTAAGGATAGGTGCTGCACTTGTACCAGGGAGCACTTGGTCCTTCCCAGGAACTCAGATCTTCTGCAACTGCTTGTGCCACCAGGGAGAGTTCTCCATGGCGCCCACTTCCAATTCATAATCAGGGCTGATGCATCTGCTTGGCATGGTGTAGGCCAGGCACCATGCTTTAGCTACAAAGGAGGCATTTTCAGCTTCTACATTCAGAGACAGGATATTTCCTAGACATAAGAAAGGGGTTAGATGCTAGGGAGTCAAAAGGATGACACATGTCCCTTCTAACTGTAACATGATGACTGTGAAGAAGAGTGGTAGTAGATGAGGCTGGAAAGAGTTTTGACTTTACCTTATAGGCATTGGGGAGCTGTGAGCTATTGATGATTTTGAGCAAGAGAGTGAGGGGTGAATAGATGAAATATGGACAGATGGCAGATGGGAAGTTGAGAGAAGTCAAGTGGCATTGAGGACTGAAGTACAGACTGTCAATGAGAACGGAAACGAAGGCCAGATGGGAAGCACATGGTCGTCACAGGACCAAGTGCGTAGTGCCTGGTTGTGGAGAAGTGTAGACAAGTTTCAGGCTTAGACAACAGGAAAGTATTATAGGGTAGTTATTTAAAGCATGGTGTTTAGAATTGAACTACCTGGTTTGAATCCTGACTAGACCACTTATTAGCTATGTGACCTTGGACAAATTACTTAATCTGTTTGGGTTTCCCCATCTGTAAAATGGGTATAATAACTACTCTCTTCATTTGGCTCTTGTGAGGATTAAAAAAGTTGATGTATGTGAAGCATTTAACATAGTGCCTGGCTCATGATACCAAAAAAATACCCGTTGCTGTCGAGCTGATCCCGACTCATAGCGACTCTATAGGATAGAGTAAAACTGCCCTTATAGGGTTTCCAAGGAGCAGCTGGTGGATTTGAACTGCTGATCTTTTGGTTAGCAGCCGAACTCTTAACCACTGTGCCACCAGGGCTCCTGGCTCATGATAAAACCAAAAAAAACAAGCCTGTTGCAGTTGAGTGGATTCCAGCTCATAGCAACCCTGTATGGGGTGTGTGTGTATGTGAATGACAGGATGATGGACAAATTACGGTATGATGTATGATGATAGGTTTGATACATTTGGCATTTTAGGTGGAATATCGTTGTGGAGCTGTCCTGTAGTCAACTGGAAGTGTACATCTAGAGCTTGTGGGAGGCCAGGGCTGCAGACAGAGGGGAAGCCATGGGAATATGTCTGTCAAGGAGGAAGAGAATGTAGTGGGAAAAGTAAGGGCTGAGGACAGAACCTCGAGACTGTTTCAGCAGCAGAAGGAAGAAGTAAGTTTGATAAAGGAAGCTGAATTGAACAGTCTGTGAGGTAGGAAAAGAACCAGGAGAGTCATGGGCGTCCAAGAAAGAAAAACTTCTAAGAAACAGAAAAAAATAGTTACTGTAGCATTAGATGTTGCAGAAAATTTAGAGGGTGGTGAGTGAGAAGTTGCCTTTGGATTTAGCAATTAGGTGGCCATTGGTTATCAGTGGAGAGAGCAGTTTCATGATAGAGGTGGGAACAGTTTCTTACTGATTAATAATAACAGTGATGTAATTGTGCATGTGTGTTAAAGGGGAAATGAAAACCAAAAGGCGCTATAAAATTTTTGTCTAAAAAAACT